CGCACAGGCACATCCCTGCTAAAACTGCAGGAAGCCACTATTAGAGTACTTGTTTTATTAACAGAATTAATAAATCAGTCACTGAAGTGTAAGAGTTGTAAGACAAGACTATACATATAATGCTTCCATTGTTACTATTAACCTGTGAAAAGCTGACACACTCATTTCACTGAGGATATCACACAGCAGCATAAAGCAGCCATTATCATGCTATGACATGAATGCTAATATACATGAACGTATAAACAGCACTGGAAGCAAGGAGGAGCCAGAATCCCAAACTCCCTTCCTTCCAAGCAACTGCCAAACAGTAACAGGCCAGATATTTACAACACATGTTACTTGTTCTCCTTCTGGCCTTATAAATCTTTTGTTACACAGGAGGCCAACTTCTACAGAAAAGACAGGATGCTCTCAGCCGTGTTTTGCTCACAGTCTGGTTGTTAGAGCACTCTCCTCGGAAGCGGAAGATGATGCTTTAAACCCCCACTGGCTATCCAGGTCCTTCCACTTCCTGAGCAAGCGCACTAACCTCTAGGCCGGGGTGCTCAACTTCTGGCCCATGAGCCAAATGAGGTCCATGGAAACATTGCATCTAGCCCATGGGACTCCCCATGGGTTGGGAAATTTGACAGTGGGGAGCAGTGGCCACCTTCCCCCACTGCCAAATTTCCCTACCCCCTCTCTGCCAGCACAGCCAGATCCAGGCCAGGCCAGGCCCCCTTCTACATGCCACTGGATTGGGGCTGGGCCACGCTCCCTCCACTGCCTTCCCCCTGCTTCCCCCTAACTGCATGGAACTCAGCCATGCTCTCTTCTCCCCATACAGCTGTTATTGGGGCTGGGCCAGACCCACTCCCCTCCATGAGGCTTTGCCATGCCCCTTTCACCCCCTATCCCCAACTCCCCTACAGGACTGGATCAGGCCAGGCTGCCCCCCAGCCCTCTGTGTGGCTAGATGGGGCCCCACCATGCTCACCCCAGGTACCAGGTCAGAGCCACTGCCCATCTGGCCCGCCAAGAAAAAGGTTGAGCACCACTGCTCTTAACCACCGAGAAAAAAAAAGGGTGAAGGCCCTCTTCTTTCTCCTACCAGTAGTTCAGATGAACATCTTGCTCTGAGGCAGCTAGATCCTACCGTGATGAAGCCATCTAATGCTGTACACAGGGAATGGGAGAGATATGTGTGTCTGCAAGGCAGGGCAGTATCAGCCACTGGAGACATACTAGGCTGTCCATTAAGAGAATGGGAGAGCAATATCCTTTCCTAGGAAAAACAGATTGCTCTCCTGAGCCCAAAACCCTTATTTGGGGATGACTTTAGATGCTAATTAGGCAAGAAAGAATCTGGGCCAGAATACTTTCTTATTAATGAGCAAACAAAAAGTAAAACAAGAAAATGAATTGCTGCACAATGCAGTGATTCTCAACCAAGGTGCCAGGGCACCCTGGGATCCCGCCAGATCTTTGAAGGGTGCCAGTGGGGTGCAAGGAGATAATCAGGCAAGCTAGGTAGATACTCCAGGCTCAGATGTGTCACAGTCTGGACCACCTCCCTTCACCTCTACTGCCCAGCTCCAGTGTAAGGAGGTAAGCACTATGCCTGCTTGCAGACATTAAAAACAACAAAAATGATGCTTTACTTTAAACTCAGTGTATCCCCACACCAAACCACACACATGCCAAGAACTTAGTTAGACTTGGCTCACCCAACGTCTATAAAGATTAAATCAGCTTTAGCTAAAAGCACCAAAAATCCCCGCTAAAGTGCCTGATCTATACAGATGCTATGGAACCAGGCTGAAGTATAGCACTGCTTCTTCCAGTAAAGCACAGTTTTTTGTTGTTTTTTTTTTTTGTTTTGTTTTGTTTTTTTAAACGTCTGCAAGCAGCCTATAATATATAACATTTGTTTTTTAAAACTGAATGCCACTCAATTTGCAAAGTTAAGGAGGTGTGCCTCAAATCCAAAAAGGTTTTGAATTCCTGGCATAATGGCATGCTGAAAGCAATCAGTTTAACACTATTAAGAAAGTAAAAGTTCTAAAAATTATTTTAACTCCACTACAATTGTTAACATCTTTACCTGTAAAGGTAAAACTAATGAAAGTGTCAAGGTATACTTTAATATTTATACACAAAACCAAAATCAAGTATTTTAAAATAGTGACTTCTGTGTTGGCTTTATTTTCTATACCTTTAACACCAAAGACAGGAACACAGACACAAAAACAGACAACTGGTTTATATAAATGTATATACAAATACTGCAGCCACAGAAGTATTGCTCAGTTGTTTACACCACTGCGGAAACTACCAATTCAACAAGTTTGAAATAATTGTTATGTACTCAACTCTCCAAGACTCAAGCCACTCAGGAACCTAGTTTTATGCAACCATTTTTTAACACATTGGATTAAAAAAGTAAAAATTCAAACAGAAATACTGGGGGGGAAAGGCAGTAAGAGAAATGTATCCACTTTTTACATGATGAAATTAACACACACTCGCATGTTCTAGTGACAATCAAATATCGGTGAAACTAGTAAATAACCAAAAATACTTTAGAGCAGTCTGCTTTGATTGTATTAAAAAATAAATCAATATATTTTCTTTGAACTGAATTATGAAAACCAGCTAACAGATAAAGAAACATATTATGTTGTTAATACTGAAAACTGAAGCATATAGAACACCACATTAAAATGTTCCTCTTCCCAATATTTAAAGTGTCTAGTGCAGGCCATATACTCACTCAATAGAAGTACTAATTAGCCTTTATAATGAATGATCTAAATCAGAGTAATCTTGCATCCAGATATGACATACCATGGCAGGATAATGGGACTGGGAAGGCTGCTGCTGGTACACAGATTGCATCAAGAGCTGCTGCTGGACCATCTGCTGGTGCATTGCTTGATACTATATTTAGAAAGAAAAAAAGATCTCTGAAAAAGTAACCAAAAAACCCTCTATGGCCACATTCAAATGAGCACGGTGTCTGCGGCACTACATACCACACATTCAGCTGTTCCCCACGCTGCAAGGTAGCAATGTGGGGGGGGGG